TGACTTATTATCGAAAAATTTTTTTTCTTTTTAGATATTGTATTTTCTAATAAACACTCCTAATTCCGAATCTTCCCAAATAATCTATATATTGTACGACTTCATATAGGCCTACCATTAATTTTGGGAGGGGGAAATTATCAGAATATAATACCTGATCATCCATTTGTTTTTCGCAACTGGCATTTACCTATCCATAGCTGTCTTCGTAAACACTATCACCTCACTTATTAGGTTGAGGCAGTACTGTTTAGAGCCTTTATTGTCGCAAGCCGAACTTTTGTTCTAGTTTGCCACCCTAGCTAGCCGTGTATTATAATATAAAGCTACTTCACTGACAGGTATTTTCGACCCTCCATCAGCCACTCGAAACCTTCAATTATACCTTATGCTACTGGAGTCATGCAAAGAATATAATAAAATTTAACACAAAACAATCCACTCACCTAACTTTCACTGTCTGTAAGATCTCTCGTTACTTCAATAGTATTTCTTTCACGACTTCGGACGAGGTGCGGTACCTACCTTGGATGTAGAATCACTTCGCACTTCTGCAACATTATCCTTAATTCACTAGTTTTCGTGATCCGCTTGAGCAATTAATACCTTTCAATTAATTAAGGTTTTTCGTTGTGATAAAAAAGTCAGTGTCACGAACGGGATTCGAACCCACGACCTTCGGCTAGATACGCTACTACTCTACTACTTGAGCTATCGTGACTTCGATCCACTCAGACACCAACTTCCCATCTCAACCCCACCTTTTGAATTTTGAAAATGGTAAAAAGTTTTTTTTTCCTTTTTTTTCTTTACGATTAAGTCTTTTCTCCTCTGTTTTTTTAAAATTATTATTATAAGTATTTTTACGATTACGTTTAACTTTTTTTGTGTGTTGTGTGTACTAGCATATAACGAATAAATTACAATTAACTAAGGTTTTTGGTTGAGATGAAAAAAAGTTAATGGCACGAGCGGGTTTCGAACCCACGATCTTCGGCTAGATACGCCGCTGCTCTACCACTTGAGCTATCGTGACCAAATATACTTCATTTTAACATTAAATTCACTAGTTTTCGTGGTTCGCTTGACCAATTAATACCTTTCAATTACTTAAGGTCTTTACTTGAGATAAAAAATGGCAAAAAGGAGGGAATATTTAAAAGATGGGGTTGAGATGGGAAGTTAGTGTCCGAGAGGATGGAAGTGGTGGACACTGACTTTTTTTTCATCTCAACTAAAAATTTTAATTAATTGTAATTTATTAATTGGTCAAGCGGACCACGAAATTAGTGAATATAACGAATAAAGTTAAAACCTCGCTTTATTCCTTTCCCTCTTTATTATTATTTCTTCATTACAATTATTTTTTCTCTTTTAATCTTTTTCTCTCAACAGCGACCTCCAGCAGATCGTAGATGTAATCCATGCTTCGACTATGATTTGTAAATAATCACACTGCTATATTCATGAAAATAAAAAGCATTAAAAAAGAGAAATGAAATCACGTTTTAATTAATCCTTAATATTAAAATAATACGTATAATCAAAAATGATCTTATTGAGCAATTAATAATCCTATTTGGTTTAATCCGAATTATCATTATACAAGGGTTACTGTGTAAATGTATAAATACAAATAGATTTTCTGGTCAACCTATCTCATGAGATTTGTTTTAAACCAAAAGTGCAAATCGAGATGTGTATAGCCTAAGAGCAGCCAATAGTAAAATACGAGACACCAAAGGATTTACGGGTTGTAAAAGACTTTCAGAATCCTCGCGATAAAGGTTTCCGTGTATGATTTTTATTTAGGGGGGCTCCTTTTCTCGAGCGGGGGTTGAACAATGATCTTGTCGCGGGGACAAAAGGGCCTCGAAAGCCTATTTCGATATTATTTGTTTGACGTGGCCATCGGACGGGGGAGCAATAAAGAACCCTTGCGGAGTAGAAAAAAGAATAAAGAAGCAGGGGAAAAGTGGAAAAGGGCTTTTATCATCTCGAGAGGGGACAATGCCAAGATTGTTGTCGACTGTCAGGCCACCCGCGCAATTAATCTTCTCTATCCGCGGCTCGGTGCGCCCCGTCTCCTTGGAAATTAACGAAATCCGAGGGGATGGTTTCCCGGGATTAGAAGTTGAGCCGGATTTCTGTTCGTTTCTAAAGAGCCTTATTGATTCAAGATGCCGGTTATCGGTGGTTTCACACTTTGAGCTAAGCCCGGCCAGAAAAAAAGCCCGTTATAAAATCCACGGGTTTTACTAACCTCCCCCTGGAGGTTTTGGATCGTTGAGATTACAATCACAAAAAGAAAATAATTGTAAATAAAAGGGGAAAAATTTCATCTTATTTTTACTTAAAATAAAATAATCTTATAATTTGATACTGACAAGCCGATGCAATTCACATAGTGGATGGAGATGAAACTCATCACTAGTTTTATAAAACACTAGATTCATCCTTCTATTTCCTTAGTATTTTTAGTTTTGTGAATTTTATATTACAACATAAATTTTGATAATTCCAGATTTGTTTTTGTCTCTACTGCATACAAACAACTTCCATTATTCGCCCTCCAGTTAACTAATGTATCTGAATTTATTCTGCCTTTTTTATTCATTCATAAACTGTACAACTGCGCAGAAAAGCGATGGGAAGATGTTTCTAAAAGATTATTGATATGATTTCTTTGACAAATTGCAAGGTTTGTGTGATTTGTGTTTACATAGCCATGAGTCATGAACGTTTAGCTTTAATCAATTAATTAAGGTTTTAAGTTGAGATAAAAAAGTCAGTGTCATGAGTGGGATTCGAACCCACGACCTTCGGCTTGATACGCCGCTACTCTACCACTTGAGCTATCGTGACTTCGATCTACTCGGACACTAACTTCCCATCTCAAAAAGATGGGATAGTTGAGATGGGAAGTTAGTGTCCGAGTGGATCGAGGTCACGATAGCTCAAGTGGTAAAGTAGCGACGTATCAAGACGAAGGTCGTGGGTTCGAATCCCGCTCGTGACACTGACTTTTTCATCTCAACTTAAAACCTTAATTAATTAATTATTGATTAATTGATATTAATTGGTCAAGCTGACCACGAAAAATAGTGAGTTTAGCTTTAAATTGGATTTAGACCCATTGATGGATAGAGATCGAAGCGCCTGATTAAAATTTAAACCAACAAGATTGATCCAGTATAACTGGTTGTTGAGGTATAATATTATGGTTATAATTGATTATTCTTCTTTTCTAATGTCTTGGTTTAGGTGAAAAAGTTAGTGTCACGAACTGGATTCGAACCCAGTACCTTCGGCTGAATACGCCTCTGCTCTAACCACTTCAGCAATCGTGACATCAAATGGTTAGAGCAGCGGCGTATTGAGCCGAAGTTCAGGGGTTCGAATCCCGCTCGTGACACTAACTTTTTCATCTCAACCAAGACCTAATATAGAAAGAATAATTAATTTAAATAATTAATATGGTCAATTACACCAATAAAAATAAATGGAATATGGTTACAATTGAGAATCAGATTTTCTAATGCATTTGACAACCTGAAGTATTGACAACGTGAAGTCTGTTCACGGGACACCCTGTATAAGTCTATTACAGAACCCCTATTTTATAAATATGCCATGGTAATTGCGCTTTTTCCCTCAAAACTAAGCACTTCGATCGATGCCTCTTTCCATAATTCTTTTGGTGAAACTTTCATACAATATTTCTTACGGAAAATTCCCACTTATTAAGCAATTTGGTAAATGCATGAAGTTTTAAAAGCAAAACGTACTTTTGTGAGCAACTAACCCTGCACATTGTTTGAATTAGCATTGGCACGAATTTCTATCTTACTCATCTCATAAATCTGATGATGCGCTTGGAGGAACAAAGCGGAGATAGAAACAAGCCGACTCTTTCAAGATTTCAAGAATATCCATAGAATATTAATGAAAGTTTTTAGTTGAGATAAAAAGTCAGTGTCACGAGCGGGATTCGAACCCACGACCTTCGGCTAGATACGGCTACTCCACCACTTGAGCTATCGTGACTTCGATCCTCTCGGGCACTAACTTCCCATCTCAACCCCACCTTTTAAATTGTCCCTCCTTTTTGCCATTTTTCAAATGTCGTGTAATCTATTTGATTCTCGGCGACAAATAAAATGGCCACGGAGAGCCTTAGCGAAAATATACTTCATTTTAACATTAAATTCACTATTTCAAAATTTCGTGGTCCGCTTGACCAATTAATAGCTTTCAATTAATTAAGGTCTTTACTTGAGATAAAAAATGGCAAAAAGGAGGGAATATTTAAAAGATGGGGGTTGAGTTGGGAAGTTAGTGTCCGAGTGGATCGAAGTCACGATAGCTCAAGGGGTTGAGTAGCGGCCTATCTAGCCTAAGGTCGTGGGTTCGAATCCCGCATGTGACACTGACTTTTTTATCTCAACTAAAAACCTTAATTAATTGAAAAGTATTAATTGGTCAAGCGGACCACGAAAACCAGTGAATAACCATAGACCTCGCCACACATCATTTATGAATTTGAGGTACTAGTCTGAAATCGGTAACCACTCCGAAAAGATAATTCTCTCACAAAGAATGAGAGAAAAAGCGCAATTTCAACTATAAAAAAAGATTGTCCTTTTAATGAATGTCTTAATGTTACAAATATTTATTTGGTTGATATGTTTTTATTTTAAGGCTCCTATATCAATGGAATGATTGTAGAAAGGTAACATTATAAGTTCATTAGAACGTTTAAAACAAAATAATTACGAGGGGGTTTTGTACATTCGGTTGGCATTTGATACGTACCTAATGAAGTCAGTCATGCTAATTTGAGACATAATTAAAAACTAAACATGAATCAATATCGGTCATTGCTGTGACTGCGTGTATGCGGTACTTCCTGCTTTTAACATGAACGTTATTAAAATCTAATAAGCGAAGGACAGGTGTAAATTCGATACACTGAACGATTAAAATTGAACTTGTTTTAATTAAAACCTTTTAAAACTCGCCGGGTAATATATACATTTTCTACAATTAGACTCATTAGGCTTCCATTACCTATAAAATACTAAATTGTTATTTGTTACATATTTACACTTGTATATGTTTATTTAAACAATTTTGATCTTGCACTCTTCTGTTTATTTATTTTCAATTGACTATATATACAGGATTTTAGTATATTTCTAGTATTACCTTTCATTGTTTATGTTCTGTCGGTTAATTTTTTTTTTCATGTTTCCATTTAATACTTTTTTTCTATGAATTCTCAATGCACGGTTAGTTCATTTAATTGTTCACTAATTTACATAGTTTATCACGTAAAGTTTTAGAAAATATCTACAGCCTATGATTTTAGCAGTCTCCTCCTAGGTTTTTGGAAAGTTCATGAATCCAGGAAATTTGACTGATCTTTGATCTCTGAAGTTGATGAGATTCTGAGGCGGTGCGTAGTGAACGCCTTGGTTATCCAGGAGAAGTTTCCCAGTTCCAGTTCTATCAGGAAAAAAAGGAACTGGCGTCACAGAGCCGTAGTTGGGATTGAGGTACCCATTGGTCCTTACTGGCTTGTAACTAGCTGTGTATGAATCCGACTGCTGTGGGAAATGAAGCTGCTTTACACCCCTTGTCGGAAAGACGAGTTTGTCATGTTCTCTCTGATCGTAGGAGTTAAACGGCGGAGGTCTCACCAAGATCCTTTCCTGGAAATGGTCCTTGGCGGCTGTGTACTTGCCCGCGTATCTCTGATAGTACGGTGGCCTGTACGGATATTGGTACTGGCCGTAATTAGGTGGACGATGGTTCAGGTTGTTTGTTTCCCCGTTGTTCCAGCTGAAGTAGCGGAAAAATCCGCCGTGGTGGTTATTGAGGTAATCGACTAGAGCATCAGGATCTCGAGGACAGGTCGGGTACGCCGTCAGACAAGCACGAGAATTCCCTCGGGATGAGTAGCCCAACAAAGCCGCCCGTCCGAACACCAGCAACGGTGAATTGTCGATAAAATCCACAACGGTCAGCAATCTAATTAAAACACAACAAATTAGAAACTAACACAATAATTTGTTCATATTAGCCAGATTTATTATATACGATTGTTTAGAGGTTTTACAAAAATATTTTCTTTATCGTGCCAACGTTTCGATCTTTATTGAGATCATCTTCATGGCCCGAAGTGTTTGTTTTCTGAGTAGATGAGTCATTCTTGAGTGCCCTCTCAACACGACAAACAAGTATAACACATCTACAAGGAAAACTAACACTTTGAACGCTGAAGATGATCTCAATAAAGATCGAAACGCGTGGTGATTAGTGACCGTTAGTCGATGATTATTCGGATATCCTGAGATGCGGTCTGGTGTGACGTAGGTTTTAGAAAAACATTTTCTTTATCGTGCCAACGTTTCGATCTTTATTGAGATCATCTTCAGGGCCCAAAGTGTTTGTTTTCTAAGTAGATGTGTCATTCTTAAGTGCCCTCTCAACACGACAAACAAGAATAACAAACGCGTGGTGATTAGTGACCGTTAGTCGATGATTATTCGGATATCCTGAGATGCGGTCTGGTGTGACGTAGGTTTTAGAAAAACATTTTCTTTATCGTGCCAACGTTTCTATCTTTATTGAGATCATCTTCATGGCCCGAAGTGTTTGTTTTCTGAGTAGATGTGTCATTATTGGGTGTCGTACCTCACAATCTCCAAATAATCATTGACGGTCACTAAACTCCACCCTTTATTATATACGTTGATTAATGAATGTTGTTTCGGAAATAGGAGGATGGAAATTCCAGGGGCAACGGAAGGAATCGAAGCCACGCGAACCACTTGGCTACTGCGGTCTGCCACCAAATATCCAAACTGTGATTTGCTCGGCTTTCAAAACATCAATTCATAATAAGCTTCTTTATTTGATCTAAATTTTGAAAACGTCATCAGGCTCATCAGTCCTAACTCCAAAAATTTCCTAATTTTAAGTATGTAAAGTTCCCAGGATGCAGAATGTACAACAACCCGTCCAACTGCGTCATACTATTCTTAATTAAAAAAGCCATGGGCTATGACAGAATTCGAACTCAGATTCACTTGCATGGCAAATAGGCGATTTGCCACTATGAGGAAGCTCAACTTATAATTCCATCTACGATCCAAATATTTAATTTAAATACTGGCAGTCTATTATGAAGGATACGACCGGCTCACACGATGATTTATCTGATGGTATTATTATGCTCGGCCCAATATGACTGTTGATACTGATCGTGATTCATTACACGTGTGAAAGAGCGAAATGAGCGTGAAGACAGGGCGGGTGAACGCACCGATCGTCCCTCTCGGTCTGGGAAGAGGTGAATCATAAGTGGTGAAAAGGATGAGTCGCGTTTCCAGCTTCAACGGAAAGCGACCAATGCCCCGAGACGTTCCATCTAGGTAGGCATTCAATCTGGGTTAATCGACGTCCGCTCTCGGTCTACGCGTTTTGTTGCTAAACGGATATTTTTGCAACCGTGTTTGGCAAGTTTGGCTAAAACATGGATGTGACTTTTATTTTTATATTTACAACTATGTACATACATATGTATAATCGCAAATATATAATCGCAAATGTGCTTGAAGAGGCAATCGTTAGGCAGTTACTGTGTCGACTGTCGCGTTATTCCCAAAAAAATTAATTATTCCCAAAGTTTCAGATGAGACAAATTATGCATTAATGGACAAAGGTGATTACTATGGGATGTTGTGATCATTATAAATCTTTTAAAACGGGTTGAAGTTCTTATTTGCCCAGTGATCTTCTAGTACATTAGCACCCACGTCCCCATAGTGCTACATTCCTACTTTGTCTGTAGCGTCAATTTATTTTAAACGTTCAATCTTGTTAAATCTCTGTATAAAGTCCTACAATACTAAGGGCCCGTTGCACCAACTTCGTTTAATCTTGGTTCAGTACTGAACGGAGTTCAACACAAATATCGGCGTTTTTCAATCTCTATTGATCCGAGATAAAGTGATGAACGTCGATCAATTCTGAACGGTCGTTGAGCTCGGGTTAAACAGGGTTCAGAGCTGAACAACGTTCATTTGATAATATAACCTGCGCGTTGTTTAACCGTATATTGAGATAGATCGAAATGGACGCATTTTTACCTAGTTATTTAGAGGAATTAACAGATGATGAAGATTTCCTTGAGTTAGTAGCTCTACATATAAACAAAGAAAGGGTTTTTAGAACCAGACAGGAACATTTTCACGAATGGGATAACGATGAATTCTTCAATAGATTCAGAATGACAAAGAATGCAGTGAACTTCGTGTTACAGAAAATATCTTATCATCATCGTACTGGCTTTGGAAACCAGTTAACTGGTACCCAGTATATCCATTAATACATTGTCCTGACTGTCGTCAGCTGGAAGTGGTGGCCCACCTCCAGTTTTTTTAATACGGGCACTTTTTTCGGAAAGTGTTTTTTTTCCTCTTTTCTTAACATTTTCGTACTTTCCTTTCAAAACGGCACTGCTTCTCGCAGTAACCCCATGAGAGTTATATTCCGCCGTAATCTGTTGCCAACAGTCTGCCTTTTGTTTGGCACTTACGGCGTCTGTCTTTTTGTTTTCCACAATGAGGACATATTTCCGAACTAGGCCTAATAAAATATTCTCCTCAGTTTTTGTGAAATTCGCCGCCCGTTTTTGTCCGACATATTTTGAAATAATAAATGAAATAACACAAACAACGAAACAAACAATGGATATAGATAAAAAACTATAATCTAAAACTACTTGAAAGACTCTAAACACTACTTAAACTGAATATAATACAATAAAAACTACTTAAACTAAAACTAATTAAAGACTATAAAAACTATAACCTTACTACCTAATGGTTCAATAAACAATGAAATAGCTAAAAATAAAATACAAAATAAAAGCAACAAAATTAAAGTGGTTAAACAAATAAAGAATATAGATTGAAAAAATAAAAAACAGTAAAAAAAACAATGAAATCAACACAAAAAGAGTAGGGAAAGCGGTACAGCAAACAATGCGAACAATGAAAAACTACGACGTATAGCTATAACCGTACAAAAAGGCTATAATCAGTTGTACCAACGACTGGTTGAACAGCGATCAGCTGAACGGCGGTCCCCTGCACATGGTGCAACGCTCCCTTCGCTGAACTGCGTTCAAATTGTGAACGACGTTCCAGTGAACCCGGCTTGAACCGTGACTGGTGCAACGGAGCCTAAGAAGTGTAAGCTGTAGCTTGAAAATCCTCGAAAATTCTAACATGGGAAAACCACTCTTAAAAGAAAAACTATATATACACTGAATAATTTTTATACACAGGACAAGTCTTAAAACAGAAGAAAGATGGAAAATCCATTACTTTTGACTAGCTTATAGTTAGTTAAACAAAATGAACTTCTTTTTCCTAATAAAAATAAAAATAAGACGTTTTGTTTATAAAAAAGGTTAATGTTTAAGGCATTAATGTTTAAAACAATTATAACGACGCTGCATGTAACCAGTTCACCGTATTCCCACGTGTATATGTCCTTTCAATACGTGTTTCTCCTACCAATTATCCCTGATGGATTTATAATGATTTAGAATCGTCGTAGGCACGAAATGCCTGTTATTATAATATGAAAAAATAGTCTATTTTGTCTTCTCTGAATATACTTATTGAAAGACAGACTTTATTGAATTTTAACACTTTTTTTCGTTTGATTGAAACATGGGTTGATTTCCCACGATGGAAAACAATAAACATTTGTTCAAGCTGTTTTTCTAATTAAAAATAGAACAAACAAGGGGTTGCTATATATGTTTTTAGTAGCATCGGTTCGGTGGAAATTTTATTAATTATTATTTTAATGTAATGTAATTATTACTGATCATTTTGGTTTGCCTATTCGCTTTGATAGTGGAAAGCCTAAACGCGTCTGACTGACCAAGCCAACAAAGACTAAAAGACAAAAATAATAGGTTTTGACTAAATTAAATTCATCATACTCGGAGACTGCACAACAAAATATAACAATTTAAAAATTTAAAAAACTAACGAAGCTCGTCATAAATTGATGTTTAGAAAGTCAAGCAAACAAAAAATTTGGAATTTGGTGGGAGATTTGAACTACATTATTCGGACTTTCACCGCGAAGTGTTGTCACTCTCCGATGTACCTACTCTTCGGTCTATAACTCAGGGGAGTTCACCCATTATGGGGCTTGGGGCTTGGTCGCTAATATCTCCCATAAGCCAAATGCCCAGGAGATCGTCGCTTCCCAATCAAAGGGGCTAGGCTCATTTCACCCTCCCAAGGCATGCAAACTAGTGCAAATCTAGCCTAATACTAACTATATTTGATAAGACAATCACACAAATAAATGCATTTATAGATTGTACTCATTCTGATTAGTCCGTGGAATACTCGATATTCCTCCGTCGACTTAGAAACAATATCAATAATCTAATCTAAATTAGGGTTGGTGGGATACTTCTATAAATATTCGGCCATCGACCCTAAACACTCAGACTGCTGGAGGGGCGATGGATATTTCACCATCAGCCTCTCACCACTCACTCTAATAAATACACGCACTCAAACAAAACATATAAAACATAAATGCAAACGAAAAAAAACCTGTCGTGAAAAAACAGGGGACCCAGAAACTCGATACAGTGGCCGATTATCTTTTTTAAATTTGATGTGATGCCTACAGACTGTCTGTAACAAGCGAAGTAGCCTTTTTCTGCATAATTAAACTGCAAAAATTAAGAAAATTAATAATTAAAATGATTAAAACATTTTCCATAAATCAACAATGAAAAGTAAATGTTCCATTTTACCTGGAAATATTTATTGTAGGATAAATTTTACTGTTTGTATTTTTAGTCATGTTTAAATATTTACAAAAGTAATTTTATTGATTTTAAAATGGACAGTTTTTTTTTCTTAACATCCATAAGTTTCACCAGGTTGAATAATTATTTCAACGAAAGTACCGTAAGAGTTGTTTAATAGTAAGTGTGTGTAAGTGTTCTAAATAATTTTGTGCATAAAATAGTAAAATAGTATATGGTATTTTTTAAAAGTGTGATTTTGCTAAATCCATTGCACATATATTTCATTTAGATCAAAATTTGAATAAAGCGCACGTATTGTCACAATAAATGAATGAATGGCAAAAGGAGGGAAAATTCGAAAGGATGTACGATGAGATGGGGAGTTGGTTTCCGAGTGGATCGAAGTCACGATAGCTCAAGTGGAAGAGCAGCGGCGATTTAGCCGAAGGTTGTGAGTTCGAACCCCGCTCGTGACGCTAACTTTTTCATTTCAACCAAAATAAAATAAAAATGTAAAAAATAAATTGAAAGAAGTAATTTAATCAACCAGACCAATAAATATAATGGGTTTTAACTAATGTTAATTATTCACAGCGTGATTGACTTTGTTATGCTTGCTTGTTTGCTAGGTATGTTGTAATTATTTTAGAAAGTTTTTACCGCTACAAATAGTGTCAAAATTGTTTTTTGGTTCAAAATACGATGACAGAATCTATTTATTATGTTTAATGAATTATTTGGCTCAATTCAAATTAAAAAATTCTTTTCAATTAATTAAGGTTTTGGTAAATTGTTTCTCTATTTTTTCATTACTTTTTACCTTAACATTCAAAGTACAAAGAAATTCCTTTTTTCAAGTTGTCTTTTCGTACTTTCATGCGTTCTATCTTTAATCGTGTTTTAGTCATTTTTATACCTAAATCAGACAGTTTTATCACCCAAGAAGTGACTTCAGGTTTAAATATTAATAAAAAGCATTATGATACTTAAAGTTGCCCTTTCTTTGGTTATTGGTCTGTATATTTCTTCTGGTCTTTAAAGGCGATTTGCTCGGTACACGTATTTTTTCCATCTTTCCACCGCCTGTTTTAACATCGAATATAATTTCTTTTCAATTAATTAAGGTTTTGATTGACATAAAAAAGTCAGTGTCACAAGCGGGATTCGAACCCACGACCTTCGGGTAAATACTCCGCTGCTGTACCACTTGAGCTATCGTGACTTCGATCCACTCGGACACTGACGATAGCTCAAGTGGTAGAGCAGCGGCGTATTTAGCCGAAGGTCGTGGGTTCGAAACTCGCTTATGACACTGACTTTTTTATCTGAACCAAAACCTTACTTAATTGAAAATAATTTATTCGGTCATGCGGACCAAGAAACCAAATAAATGTTAAAAAATATGTAATATTGGTATTACAACAACCTTTCGATATAATTAACATTGGTTTTTAAAAATTAAATATAAAAAATTGTACATTTTGCAAAAATTTGTTCAACGAAAAAAAAAGATTCAATCACTAAAACTGTGGAAAAAAGCCCTAGAACAATAAAGGAATAAAGCGCACACACATGGACGAAAAACTGGTCTCTCATTAACGTTTTGTCAATGAGAGAGAAAAATGCCTTAAATTTTTACTTTTCATTTCGAAATTGTCATTATTTACTTGAAACTAATTAAAAAAATTTCTCATTTCTGACCACGTGTCTATTTACCTTATTGGGAAGTTAATCAGTTCTTAAAATGATTAGAGTCTAATTAAGGCTGTTGATCATGGATCTTGGTGAAAGTATTTGATAATACCAATTTGCTGATAATTCTCTTTTTTTCGATTGTGCCCACGTCTCGAATACCGGGCCAAATCACGTCATTCTCGCGATTTCTCTGCCCACATCGGTGCGGAGCAGTCGTTCGGTTACACGAGGTGAATAACTAATCGGCATCTCGCAATGAGATCCATTTGAATATTTATTCATATTCGATTTAGTTTCACTTACGCTAGCAGAGAGTCCTTGGTGGTGAGCGGTGCTGTGGATTGCTGGCTGCCGATCTGGCCGGGTTTCGATCCCGAAGTCACCTCGCAGAGCAGACGTGGAACGCACCGCAGGTCGTCGTACCTCGCTATGGAGGCTAGAGCGGAGAATAAACTCTGGCCCTGTGGTCCAGGCGGTGGCCGGGGATAAGGTGCGTAAGGAGGTGCCACCGGGTAAGGACGATCATTCGGATAAGGATATCTTTGCGGGAAAGGTTTCTGAGTGGCTGGGTACAGTCCGAAACCGCCGTCCGGGCCTTGTTGAAGCACGCTCCCCAGACCACCGTTCTGATTGAAAAGATTAGTCAACTGCCTGAAAAATATTTCTAAATATTACAAACTGATCTGAAGGTTTTCAATTTAATGATATTCACCCAACAAAATCGCTGATGCTGTTTCCAGAAATCTGCTGGGCTTTTGTACTTTGGAATAAGAAGAATAACGCAATCAGCAGGGCCATGGCAGATTCAGCTTGAAAAAAAAAACTCATTTAAATATTTTTCCCCATACCATTTCATAAGATTTTTATATTCGTTTTATTGCAGTTGCGAGATAGAATTTGAAAGAAAAAAGCTTTCACCCGCCTTCGCGTCTCCCACGTTCACGGGTATTTTGACAAGCCTGACCAAAGTTCCATTCAAATTGTCCAATTCACCTTAAATACAACGAAGAAAATTTCGCTTAAAATCCTGTCAAATTTTCTAAAATAGAATTGCTACAATAATTATGTGATTGTTTAGGAATTAACTCGATACCCACATTAGTAATTTGCATTCAATGCAAGAAAGCGACATTAAATTATCCAACCATTTAAAATGCTGCTTTCTTTGAGCACTTATGTCCTTTGGTACTTCGATAATATTTATTAAACAACAGCTCTATAAGCTTGGGAAGCGTGTAATTAAAATCAACAACATAATATGCCTATTAATTTTACTTGTCGATTAATAGTGTTAATATATAATATATATTATATATTTATTATACCTCAGAGCCATTTTGAAATAAAATATTTCTTAAATTCTATTAGGTTTCCTGGTCCGCTTGACCAAATAAATTCTTTTCAATTAATTAAGGTTTTGTTTGAGATAAAAAAGTGAGTGTCACAAGCGGGATTCGAACCCACGACCTTCGGCTAACTACGCTGCTGGTCTACCACTTGAGCTATCGTGACTTCGATCCACTCGGACACTGACTCAAGTGGTAGGGCAGCGGCGTATTTAGCCGAAAGTCGTGGGTTCGAAACTCGCTTATGACACTGACTTTTTTTATCTCAACCAAAACCTTAATTAATTGAAAAGAATATAATCAGTCATGCGGACCACGAAACCTAATAAATGTTAAAAAATTATGTACTATTGGTATTACAACAACTTTTCGATATAATTAACATTGCTTTTTAAAAATTAAATTTAAAAAATTGTACATTTTCAATAATTTGTTCAACGAAAAAAAATGATTCAATCAATAAAACTGTGAGAAAAGCCCTAGAACAATAAAGGAATTAAGCGCACACACATAGACGAAAAACTTGTTAATGAGAGAGAAAAATGCCTTAAATTTTTACTTTTCATTTCGAAATGTATTGTCATTATTTACTTGAAACTAATTAAAAATTTTTCTCATTTCTGACCACGTGTCTATTTACCTTGACTTCGATCCACTCGGGCACTAACTTCCCACCTCAAGTGGATCGAAGTAACGATAGGTTAAGTGGTAGAGCAGCGGCGTATTTAGCCTAAGGTCGTGGGTTCGAATCCCGCTTGTGACACTCACTTTTTTATCTCACCCAAAACCTTAATTAATATTTTTTAAAGTTAATGTTCAATGAAAGGTTTTTCATTATTTACATCATATATAGCAACAATGTCATGCTACGTACGATTTTTTTTGCTTTATTAAATTACACTTTTTCCGCTCAAAAAATATCATGATGGTTGAAATGAAAAAAATTAAAAAACATATTTCCTTGAACATATATTTGTTATGTATATTTCAATTTGAGCTAATAAATGAAAATTTTGATTAATCTCGGACAACAGTGCCCAATGTGAGCAAATGTATAGACATCGTCCCATGCAAAAAAAGTCTGCATGTTCATTAAAGTTTTATCCAATTGGAATTTAATTTAATCCACCCCGAGTTTTAAAAAAAGGAATTTCATTAAGTACCGGATCTCGTAAAACTTGTTTACTGCCAGTAGTAAAAGCGTAAATTTCAAGGGACGTCAATAATTATGACCACGATTACTGTAATGAATGGCGTAATCGTCGTCCGTTTTCTACTTTTCCACTCAGTTTTTTCTCTCCTATTTCCGCCTTGTCTGGAAGTGAGCGTTATTTTCCCAACGGTGGAGAAGACCGATGCTTCATGGAGAGGAAGAAAAACCCGGCGTTCCTCCTGCAGACGTGTTGGGCGACCTGTCTTTTTCCTTTCGCTAAGACCAAAAGCTATATTTTATTACTGTTTAATGATATGAACACAAAAATAACCTAAAAAGAATTAAAAGAATTGACTAAAATAGATATATAAATTTATACATTGAAAGTATTGTGTTATTGCATAAATATTGTAATTTAACCCGATCAATTAACGTTTTAATACGTTCAAAAATTCTTTGAAAAAAAAAAAGTTAACCCCTCGTGATACCCGAATTATACCATGAATAAAAAAAGTAGTTTAGACAAAATGTAGTGAATATCCAAAACAATACTGTTATATTTATTATTCAGGGTGGTTCGCTATGAGATGCTCACAAAAATTTGGGTGATAGTACACTGTAAATGGCGTAGAAGGCAAAAATGACTTCGATAACCTACGATTTTTATAATTCTAGTTCTAAAAAAGGACCTTTTTCCACAGAAAAATACATTTACTAATCATTTTTCATGGAAAGTGAAGGTATTTTTGAAATATATTTTAATTAATTATAAATTTTATCTAAGGTCTTGGTTAAGATGAAAAAGTTACTGCCACGAACCGGGTGTGTGAAGGCACTCTCAGCACGACACATAAGAATGGCACAATTATGCAGAAAACTTACATTTTGAGCTCTGATGATGATCTCAATAAAGATCGAAACGTTGGCACGATAAATAAAATGTTTTTCTAAACCTACGTCACACCAGGCCGCATTTCACGGTCTCCGAATAATCATTGACTAACGGTCATTAAACACCAAATATTAATCAGACATTTGTACTTTTGGAAATACACAATAATCAAATTACAGGCGAATTTCAGTTAGATAAATTCAAATCAACATGAGGCTATAATAATAGCATAAATACAAAGATTAGATTTATAATCTTGGTGTACGATGCCAATAAACGAGTAAAGTTGGGGGATTTAGGGGGATAAAGTGTTTTGGGAATTACAGGATTTCGCACAAAAAAGTCTTCTCTACACTAAATGTATCAATATGATTTTCTTACGTAAAGTTTAATGCTAAAGCTTAAAGTACAGAAATCATTGATAACCAAACTTTAAATGATAAAAAAATTCAAAACTGTGTCATTTGATGGTTTATTTATCCATATTTTGGGACAAATATGTGATTTTTTAAAATTATTTTATTGGTACCTGATACATTTCGTACGTATTACAAATTTTATTTTAACACGATCGCAGCACTAACACTAATGAGCGCTGCACCCGGAAGACACATGCCATAAGAAACTAGCCAATGCTGGCTCTCAGCGTTTGGGAGCAAGGAGGTCTCGAGGCCATGACCATTAAAGCAACGTGGCAAGGTCGTCAGAGAAGGCTTGAGCAGTATGGTTAGGATGAATCGAGAGATTGGTGACCAAATTTTGAAATCGGGGACGAATGAGTACCTTGATAAAAAAAAACATTGAGATAGTTGTGGAGTGAGGTTAGTGACGTAGTAAAGAGCTTCGCCGATTTGTCTGAGGACTTTTCAACTTTTCGTTGGAAGGATTGGATGCCTGGATGTTGGATACTTTGGCAGAAAACTACAGTTTCACTCCATATGTCCAAAGTGGACGCACTAAAGTCTTGAAGTTAGGTTAATTTAGTGTTGACGGTCAATATAAATGTCGTTCGTAGAAGTCTTCGTAGTGGTCCAAGTCTTATGTTAAGCTGGTTTTCTATTAAGCCTTCTGTGGGAATTCCACGTCAATCTGATGTCTATCTCCTGTCTCAAGTATTTGACCTGAATGGAAGAAGGTATCGTTTTGTGTTTGATGTACAGTGGAGGTCAAGACTGGTTTTTCATTGTGAACGTACACTGAGTACATTTTTTTTCATTCAGCCTTGTCCTTCACTTTTGCACTACCCTTCGATAAGATCAAGGTGTTCCTGGATGTATTAAGCTTGTATAAAATTCGAGTTAAAGGAAAGAATTAGGTTTTAATTGGTATTTGTCTGAGGATTTTGCTTGGAAGGATTGGATCCGCTGGATGTTGGAAGGCATGGTAGAACCCCAAAGTTCCACTTCATATGTCTTAAGTGGTCCAAGTAAAGTCCTGTGTAAGTTTAGTTTAGTTTTGAGGGTCAAGTGAGATATCGATCCTAGAGGTTTTTGTCGTTGTCCGAGATTTCTGTTGAGTTGTTGGCTCGTAAGTCTTGTGTAGAGAATTCCACGAACGTTTGCTGTCTACGCATGGTCTTAAATATCTGACTTGAATGGAAGTCGGTATCTCTTTTACGTTGATGAATAGTGGTAGACAAGACATTTGTTTCCAATAGGAACGTACACTGAGAACATTTTTTTTTCGATGAACTAGATTATCGACCTGCTGGATACAAAAAGTCTTTTCAGAGGATCTTCGGAAGAGGTCAAAACATTTTTTTTTCATTCAGTCTTGTCCTCCACTTTTTGAACCAGTTTTCGATACCTACAAGCTATTGGATGTTCGACGTAGGTTCGAGTTAGAGGACAAAATTGCGATATCGTACGCATAGGAGGTGATGATGGTATCAGGACACCAGGATAGATCACAGTATAAGTAAACGAAGGATGGGACCACTAATGAATTAAAATTAATTTCTATTTATTTTCTATTAATTTTTAAGAAGAAATTTGCCTTGATTATCACTCTTGATAGATGTGTAATTTATACATAACTAAGTATAATGAAAGAGATGCTGTTTATCAGGACTATAAAGGGGCGGCTTGGGAAGTTAGATCATTGATTTTATTTAAACTTTTTCCAAATTCGCGAAATCAAAGATTGTATTTTTTTTTTTTTGTGTAGAGATTAGTGACCGTTAATCGATAGTTATTCAGATATCGTGAGATGTGGTCGGGTGTGATGTAGGTTTCAGAAAAACATTTTTTTTATCGTGCCAACGTTTCGATCTTTTATTGAGATCATCATCAGGGCTCAAAGTGTTTGTCTTCTGTGTAATTGTGCCATCCTTGCGTGTGTGTGTGTGGGGCACTCTGAACACGACACGCAAGGATGGCACAATTACACAGAAGACAAACACTTTGAGCCCTGAAGATGATCTCAATAAAAGATCGAAACGTTGGCACGATAAAGAAAATGTTTTTCTGAAACCTACATCACACCCGACCTCATCTCACCATATCTGAATAACTATTGTATTTTTTTGTTAAATGATAAACTGTATAAAAACCGGCAATTATTCACATAGACTATTTAATTCCAATTCAGTAGGTGGACGCAAATCAGCCACAAATCGAAACTAATTTTAGCGCCGGTACGCCGGTAAAAATTCAAACCTGTGTGGGAATTTGTTAATATTGGCATAATAATGAGATTTTTTACCAATATGACGGGATCTCTCATAATTTTTGAATAACGGGCCCACAAAACAGGAGCTAAAATTGTATGTAAATTGAGATGTAAATTTAGATACAAATTACTGAATTGTCTCTCAGCCCTGGCCACAGGAAAAATCCGTCAAATCTGGGCCCAACATGGCTGAACGGTTAGCAGATAGTCAGTCTTTCGTTGTTGTTTTTTAATTTATTTTTAATTTATTTATTATTATTATTATTTTATCTTTTTGCCTGAACTAATGAAGCCACGAAAAAATGCTTTTAAACAAATTTTTACATAAGAAAACAAACTTGAACATTCCTAGTAGCATTATTCAATTATACCGTTTAAGCCCGGTTCATACAAGGTGAATAGGGAATTGATTGGAACTGGCGATTTGAGCATTCTGACTTTTTTGTTGATAAATGTATAAACTAACAGAACTAATAAATAGATAATGATAGTTGTTTATGAAGGTTGAAGTAAGAAAATAGATTTTTATTAAGATATTAGCTATAAGGTCGAGAATGAGGAAAAGTAACGTGAGGTAGTGTTTGTTGTTCTAGTATCTACGAGGTTATTATGTGAAGAAATAGTCTGCTACTAATAAATGAGGTATATTTTCTACTTTATTGTGTTAAATTTAACAAACTAAGGAGGCTAAATTGATTGAGTCAAGGAAGTGGATATGGAAAAGGTAGTATTGATGGAATCTAACACCACTATGAGTTTGTACCGGATTAATGCATCATCGTCGATGTTATTTATAAAGACGAATCATCAGAAAACTGAATCCAAAGTCCGTCGTGTTAGTTGAATGATAGACTCACCGGGTCTTGAGGTTTCTTCGACGCTAGCCGGAGTAGGTATGGGCTTGCCGAGGACGCCGGAGACGTCGGGGAAAGTGGAGAAAACGCGCCCACCTTCCCGGTCGGCTCCCACTATTCCGGGAGCACCGGCCGGAACGGGATCCGGAGTCCCACTGAACCAAAAAATCACCCGGGATTTTGAAATTGGGCAATTGCAGGACATCCGCGCGTTGAAGGGGTTTTGTCAAATCGAAAGGTTACGGGCTCGTGTCGAACGGATTTCAGACGCTTTGACGGGGAAAGTTAACAAGGGGCTTAGTGTTGTTTCAGATATAGTTATCACGCGTGCAACATGCGTGCAAACCGCGTGCCGCGATCTAGCAGTAGATGGAAGAACTCGGTGTTATGCAACATCGTGAACAGTGGGGTAATATCCAGGTCGGACAGTTAGGTACTACTCTTACAGTAGAACCGATTAGCACGTGAAAGTGGCCACACGTGAAAATAAAAATAATGAAGAAAGAAAGAAATGCAACTACAATTTGTAAAAATGTTTTATTACTACAAATCCATTGCTAATTAGCGGTTTATAATTGACCATATTAATTATTTCAATTAATTATTATTTTTTATCTAATGTCTTGGTTAAGATAAAAAAGTCAATTTCACGAGTGGGATTCGAACCAACGACCTTCGGTTGGTTACATGACATAGCTTGAGATGAGGAGTTGGTGTCCGAGTGGATCGAAGTCACGATAGATCAAGTGGTTAGAGCATCTGGCGTATTGGGCCGAAAGTCGTGGGTTCGAATCCCGCTGACACTAACTTTTTCATCTCAACCAAGACGTTGTATAAAAATAATAATTAAGTGTGGTGATTAGTGACCGTTAATCGATATTTATTTAGAAATCGTGAGATGCGGTCTGGTGTGATGTAGGTTTCAGAAAAACATTTTCTTTATCGTNCTGAAGATGATCTCAATAAAGATCGAAACGTTGGCACGGTAAAGAAAATGTTTTTCTGAAACCTACATCACACCAGACCGCATCTCACGATTTCTAAATAAATAATAATTAAATGAAATAAGAATAATGACTTTTTAAAAAAACTTTTTGCAAAAGTATCAGTCGTGTGATACAGTAGTGGATGAAATAAATCTTAGTATAGGTTGATTGAATTATTGTCACATACGATTGACGAGATGAAAACGCACGCTTTGGTCCAGCTAATAACAACCTCACACTAAATTAAACTTGCGATAAAAAATTGATAATACACAGTATGAAATATAAATGAGAAGTGGACACAACCTACGGACAAATGTTATCGAAAAAAAGTCGGGAAAATATCACAACATTTGAAATTAATTATTCTGATTACTAATGGTATATTGAATTAATGAATAATTGTAAATATTTTGTATACATTTTTTATAACAAATTCTGGTTATTTTTATGAGCACAAAAGCATTCTCTCTCTGTCTCTCTCTCTCTCTCTCTCTCTCTCTCTCTCTCTCTCTCTCTCGTTCTATCTTTTACTCTCTCTTTGTGACATTCTCTCTCTCTATCTCATACCCCATTCATCGACCTATTTACCTGATTCGCACCCACTGTCTTGTCTGTCAGTTTGTCTCTCCCTTTCGCTAGCACTTTTCCACCTTTTTCACTCGCACTTTCTCTCTCTCTTTCTCACTCTCTTTCCTCCTCCAAATCTCACTTACCCTCTTTACCCCGTTTTTCAGTTTTTTTTGTCTCATCAATTTGTCAGTCATTTTGTCCGTCCCTTCTCTATCCAATTCATAGTTGACGAAATAGGTAATTAACTTTCTGTTATATTTTAATTCTACTTATAATTTTTATACAATTTATCATTGTTCTTTCGCACAGAATTGTGTCTTTGTCTTAATGTATTTATATTTATTTTTTCTATGGATTATAACTTTCATTTCGTATTGTTCACCCATTGACAAAAAGAAATAACTATTAAACTATTAACATTTGTACATTATTACACCATTTACATAATTTTGTAAAGATTTATAGTCTATTGAAATAACTATGAACATTAATTTTCTACGGTAGTAGAAGGTCCAGGAGACCTAACTTTATTTATTTAAGTTATATTTAACTTTATTTATATATATATATATATATATATATATATATATGTAATATATTTAATACAATTTATAATTTTTATGCTTGCTTGTGTCTTCTAAAGTCTACATCTTTGTTTCTACCTTTTTGTATTATTTTTTTTTTCATTTTTTAAATTTTTTATACACAGCTACATAATTACAAACTTTCCAAAGTTTGTCAATTGACAGTCTGTGACCTTTTGAGTCATCTTATAAGCAGAGAGTGGTGTGAAATGAACCAAAAAGATCGGTTTGATTGTTAATCAGGCCACACACGTTCTAATGATACGTTTTACAGCAAAGCCATGTCATTTCTTGGCATATAAATTGGCCGAATGCAAAAAATAAATGTGTCAATTATTCTCTTGGAAAAATAACTGTCCACTCATGTTGGCAAACGGAAATAGCCTTTTTTGCATCGCACCGGCAAGGGATAGTGGGCGACAGACCACAATTGCATTAAGGTAAGTTGGATCAACCACAATAGGTCCGAGCTGGCAATAAAAAAAATCAATTGGACGTCAATAAATAACTTAAGCGATACTAAGGTTTCTCTCTAGCAAAGCATTATTTAATTACACTGCCCAGAAGTTTTAATATGAGTTTATATTATCACATTTTAATATGAAGTTTATCAACTTTCTAATTTTAATTTGTTTGGGCGTTGGGACAACTATGTGGAAGAATCAGTAAAATATAAAATAAAGCCTATAAAGAAAAAGGCTAAACAATTTTTTTTAAAATTATTACTTACGTTGTTACTACACTATACTGATACTCAAGGACCAAAAGTCCGTCACTCGTATTTTGTTTTTTATTACAAACTGTTTTTTTTATTTTTTTTTTTATCGTTATATAATATTGTCTATTATATANTCATATTAAATTAGTTTGAAAGAAATTTCAATAAAAACTGGAAAATCGTTTAATGTTGAACAAATAACTAACAATTTATTTTTTACGAGGGTTCGCAACAGCATTGGTTATATCAACCTTCAGGGTGCCGGTGTTTTTGAAAGAAAAATCCCATTTGTAAGTATGTCGAGTTCGAATGCAGGGCCGCTGGATTCGAACCCGGGACCTTTACCATACAGTGATGAGCCCCGTGTCAACGCCTAAACCGTTGCGGCCTCCGACGCCCCTTGCTCTTAACATGTAAATAGTCATTAAATTTGTGATCTTTTAATTTGGTTTACATTAAAATAAGTATGTTGTAATTAACATAAAGATAAAAATACATATAGTTTGAAGTAAGCAACAAAATAATTCCCGTGTCCGGGTTTTGTCTTTTATTGTATTTAGTAATAAATTTTAATACTTTTAATACTTTATAGAATATACATTTTTTCAATTTCCTCTTCTTTACAGATGCAATCTGTTGGGAATCCAGTTCGTCATTTAATCGTTTCAAGTCATCTTTGACTCTATTTTTTCGCATCTTCGGTGAGTCTGTTGACTTATACTATAGTATTGGTCTAATTTGTATGGCGAACAATGGAAAATTGTGTCCAATCAAAAGTTGAGTTTTGTTGGCAAAAATCCATGTGTGTGTCTATCTAGAATATAATGGCTATGATTACAGACCCTAACTTTGTTGCTTGTCGAATATAAAAACATATTAAAAAAAACACAACCCTAAGCGTTATTACCGGTAATAACCTAGCCGAGATGAAGCGAGGATGTAAATTAAAGCTCGCCCACTAATAACAACTTGCCCTGTCACGTATTAGTTTTGAACGGCGGACGGGAATCGCTTAATCCCGGGTCGTTAGCAGAGGGCCTGGTGAAGACCCTGGGTAAGGCTATTGTATGCTAATCGTCCCGATCCCGTCGCCCCGATTGGAGCAGAATTGATTTCCGCAGTAATGTTGAAGATGGAAAAAAACTAAAAGACATATTGGACTGAAAGCCCAAACCGAATGAAATTGCATTATCACTAAATTACTTGCTGAACGGAGTTTTTCGTTTCCAGCGTTAAATTTGAATCCGATTGACTTTCTAAAACGTCGTTGAAATATAATTAATTTAACATTGAAAAAACAAACAAATAACCAGTTGTTCGGAAAGAAAATTGGGTAGTTGGGGTAGTAACTTAACTGACAGGCCTATGTTCGAAAATAATTGGTTTTTGCACTGTGGTAGGAATTTTTCATAAAAAGTCAGTTGAGATTTCTTTAGGTTGTTTCACAACATTCTAATAGAAATTGGTTGAAATGCAAGTAGTAGAGTTTTTCAAAAAAATAATAATAATAAAAATATATAAATTATTCAGAAATCGTGAGATGCGGTCTGGGTGCTGTAGATTTCAGAAAAACATTTTCTTTATCGTGCCAACGTTTCGATGTTTATTGAGATCATCTTCAGGGCTCAAAGTGTTTGTCTTCTGTGTAATTGTGCCATTCTTGCGTGTCGTGCACTCTCAACTCTTGTGTGGGCACTTTCAACACTGAAGATGATCTCAATAAAGATCGAAACGTAGCATGATAAAGAAAATGTTTTTTTGAAACCTACATCACACCAGACCGCATCTCACGATTTCTGAATAATTATCGATTAACGGTCACTAATCAACACACAAAATATATACAAATAAAATACATAAATTAATTTAAAAAAACAGGGCAAAAATTCATTAGACTCTTGCGAAATACAATTGATTTTTGTATGAAAAAAAGTAAATAAAACGGAAACGCAAACACATAACTTAGCCTGAAAGTTGTTTAAAAATAATTTTATTCTCGCTTTTTACTATAGTAAGCCAGTACACAATTAAAACACTATAAAGTACAAAACACGGCTACACATTTCATTAAAAAATTTCAAAAATATATGACGATTTGTAATTATATCTGGTCTAAAAATCATCCCCGATTTCCTTTCTTCAGAATCGTAATAAGTGCTGTCCATGAATCCCTTTTTTTGCAGGAAAAATAATCAGTTTGCAACAAATTTTGCACCTTTTGTCATTTGGATAAATAGATGTTAATGAACATTTTAAGAAATAATTTCAGGGATTGTGATTTTAAAAATTGTTTAAGTAAAGTAACCGAGCTTCTTTTGTCAAGTTGTGCTATTATGCTATTACATTTCTATCTTTAGACATACATTTTGACACGAAATTTGATAAATTTTGTATCTTTTTTGTTATTCAAGGGGGCTCAAAGCATCAGAAAGAAATTTCCCTTCTTTCGTTTCTTTCTTTTTCTTGATATTGAAAGTTAAAAGCTCATTTAGAATTTTGAAATATCTTACATGTTAACTCACACATATAAACATTTGCTTTACTATGCGGTCTATAAATAACAACAAATATAACACAACACCGACACACGCCAGAAAGACAATATAGTTACTGAAAATAAAAAATTGATCACAGCAAAAATTGATTTGATTGCCTTAGAGGGCGGAGAAGCTCTTTTATTTTTAATCCAATTTTTGTTGTTTATCAAGTTCAGTCATATTATATACCGATCGGAACATGATCAAATTTTAATTTCTAACGTTTTTCTGTGAAGGCACTTTTCTGTTGACGTTATTAACTTCGTGACTTAGAGAAAGCTGGTTACTTTAGAAGTTGAGACGATAATGTTGTTAACCAATCATTCCAGTGATTCAACAAGGCAGATGACTTCTTCAATTTAATTTTATTTTTAGTGCTTTTTGTATACTTAAGTTCACATTGACACATCATTTTTTTTTATCTTGGTAAGAAGCTTTGCAGCGACTAGGTACATTAAACAGAGTAATACCTAACAATTTTTAATTACATTCATATTAAAATTATCTATCTATAAATAATTTCGTTTTTTTTCCGATATGGTACTAAAAGATTGGGTAATTTTGTCAACATCCCCATTTGCAGGATTGAATTTTGAGTATTGGCCGAATCGATTCGGTTCTGCGAGTGTTCATATTATAGAACATTCCAGGGATACATTAAATGGACGCTTTCGAACTAGAGAAAAGCGTGTCGAAAGTCCATATCTCTCGAGCCGGCCAGCCAGAAGTGAACGCCCGGAAACGGCGATTCGGAAGCGGAATGAATGCCGGTCACTCAAGAGCAAGGAGGAAAAACCGTCTTCACGCATTAGCGTGCATAATCGGCCAGGTGAGTCACTCCCTTTCACGCAGTCAACCAACTCCCGAAGGTTATAGGCAAAAGAGATGAAAAAAAGTTGGAAACAACTGAAATTTGTTTAAAAGACAAGTATTAATCAATAAATGTGGTTTTGGATAAAAAGGCAGGACAATTAAATATAGTTTTATTGAAATTCACAAATTATTTACATTATGTACAGATGTGTTTTATAAAAAGAAAGTGGTAAATTTAATTTTACTATTAGTGATAGTAGAATTAATGGAATATTTAAACATATTTATAATAGACTAGATAGACCGTGATATTTTTGGTTTTACAAAGTTATTCTATGTAAAAACACGGCCATCTTTAACCGCAAGCTTTGGATATTAGTCTCTTTTCGATTGAGGCTTCATGTGGAAATTTGTAATTAGCTCGCTGGCAGTGACAGGGGAACGTCCTGATGTACGTAGTCGCTGCTTGGCAGGTAAAGTTGCGCGTTGCAACTTCTTCCTCTTTTGGCCAATTGACGGCAGAGCATTGGCGATCCGACGATGTCACCGAGGAATACGCTGAGCAGATAATATTCGCCTCTGCCGTACGGTGCTGTTTTAAATTTCCTGAAACACATTGTCAAATTATTGCTGAAGTTCTCTCGTCCGGGAAAATCAGAATTCAGCGCAGCTTGCAACACGAATTTGATGATATGAAAAATATTTGTCCAAGAAAAAAAGGCGTCTTTCTAACCACAGCTGTTCAGTAACCTACAAAATATTTAATTATTTTATTCTCCCCAAATATATAATTTGTTATGAGAACAAATTCCCTAAACTAGTAGAACAAACATTAAATTTATCATTTTGCTTAGCATAACATGCAATTTTTAGAAAAAAAAAAACAGTGGCTGTAACTTACAAAGAAATACCTATTTTTCGTTTGTTTAAGTTGAAATAATTGACCTAAAGGCTTCAGACGTACAGAAGTGAGGAAGATGTTCGTATGTATGCATAATAATTCTTTTAAAAAAACAAAAAACAGCATAAGTTAGTAGCAGTCTAACGATTTACAATTTAATTTAATAATTCTTTCCCACAAAATTGTAATCCTGCAGAAGGGATAATAGATTTTTCGCGTAACACAATTGAATTTATTAAATAAGGATTATTCTGATTTTTTTATTCGAAGATATTTATCTATGAGGTTATATGATCCCTCGGGGTGCCGCTGTTTTTCAAAGAAATACAATTTGTAAGTATGTCCAGCAGCCCTGCATTCGAACCCGGGTCCTTTGCCGAAAAGTGATGAGCGCCGTGTCAACGCCACATCAGTGACGGAACAGTATCTTGACCGGTGATTTCCACCGGCGGGTTTGAAAATATCCTTCTTGTTCCATTATTGTAATTAAGTTTAGTGTAAGCTTAAGATTTTTTGAGGTACGGGGAACTTTGATGAGAAAAATTGTAAAAGGAGGAAGTAACACGACAAATACACTGGCAAAAAAAGTACAAAAACGTACCACCTGGTGTTTGCACGAAAAAATTGTCAAATTTGGAAAGGCATATTTTCTCAGCCATTTAAGTCATAGATATAGATCTGCGCTAGATCTCATATTTTAGAAAATTTTACGCTGAACAACATGGAGTTTTCCAATGTTTTCCTAGCTTCGGTAGTTAATCAGAAAATTCAAAAATTCATGAACGATTTTTGCACTTTTTACGAAAAAATCAGATTAAGCTGTAAAGCCAGCAAATCGTTTTTGGGGTGGCACTCTATGTGAATCGTTAGGAAATTTTAATAAGCTTTCAATTGGTCACCTTCCACTTTTCCCGATTTCCGTTTTCGAGTTATTCACAATTTTTGGGCAAAAAACGTGGTTACACAAATCCAGTATTTAAAATTACAGTGTAATCGTTGAGAACGAAAGTGAAAATTTAGAATTAAATTAGGTGAAAGTAGAAAAATCGAATTAATTTTCAAGTTGATAAGAATAAGCTAAAAGCTTTAATAATTAATTATATGTGTGGAATTTATTTAAATATCCATTTATGCTGGTTTCTCAATTGTTTCAGAATATGTGGCCAAGAAAAAAAATGGCAGGAATGGATAAATCCCGTTAACTTAACATTTTGAGTATCCTGAAAAAAAACATGTATATATTCAATAAATGTTTTGTTATGATACTTTCCCCTAAAATGGGTTTTCAATAGATTTCGTACTAATTTAATGTTTCAATGATTCGTCTTTGATTATTTTTCGATTTAGAGATAACCCCAAAAAAAAGGTCTATAGGAATTTAAAAAGAAATCGCACAGAAAGTGGGTCAAAATAAAGACTGACCAGATTTTTGGTTTCGTCATGCCGCGGAATTGCCTCAGAGCCGCTTACGAACACGGCGGATATGTGTACGTGATCACCTTTCCGTAGGTAACGAGTCTTCCGAGAAACATACAGGATACGGTTTATTTTTATTTACTATTTTCTTTAATTTTTTTTTACCATTCGACGATATCGCACGATTCCGGCCTATATTTTGAGTCTAAAATTAATTCCAGAAAGTTCAGGGAAACTTTCTAACACCTAGGATTTCTCAACCATCTCAAGATATAACAGATAAACGTCTCGTGGCTTGATGCTAAATTTTCGAAAGAGCTAAAAAGGTTGGAATAAAAATACATCACTCAGGCGAGAAACCAAAATTTGATCAAATTTCTAGGTAATATCTCGATTGGACGGTGTACTTTTCATAAACCTCACTATTAACATATTTTAAAATATAATTTTGTCAAAAACTAATGATCAAATTTAAAGTTTTACATATTAGTTAGCCATTTTAGCCAGTTTTTATTGTGCCAAAATCTGTAACGCTTTGTCTATCAACCTAATCTTTTACATGAAGTTAAATTTAGCTAACATTTGAGTAAATACTACAATTTTTTTCTTCTACCAAGAACATGAAAATGTTTATGTATTTTAAGATTTTATATCGTTTCGGTGGTTTATTGTATATCTGTAAACACTGTTGGTTCGAATTCAAGTCCGATAAGTTTCGAACCCGCGGCCCTTACTCCTGCCGGAGTTTCGGCCACTGTCGCAACGCCCGTTGTTCAACCTACTTTTTTATACTTGTAATCAAATGAAAGCTAAACCGTGTATCAAAGGTAGAAATATGAAATACGAATTTGTAATGCTGTTGAAATCGGATAAAATCGAGTAGTTATAAATTTTTATCTGAAACGGACTAAAAAATGACTTCAAAATGATCCGGCTTAAAATGTGTATTTTTGTTTCATATAAAACTTTGTATTCTTTAAAGGGTGGTTAAAAGAATCTGAATTGTTTATTTCCAAATCAATTTTTTGTTTGTTTTGGCGTTCTTTACTGGAAGCGTATTTTTCTTTCTGAAGCTCTTTATACAGGGTGATCCAGGAGAAACCAAAAAAATTAGGTTATAAGGAGAAACTTTTGATAATTTCCAAAACTAACAGTTTTTCAACAAACATCATAAAAATTCTTCATTTAATAATCTTTCTTATGGTGCGCTCGAAGTTCCAAAAACATCAACCCTTCAACAGTAAAATCAATCTGGAGTTTTAAAAAACGTGGTTCAAATAAGTAAACTTAACGCAAACAGAAGAGGAGTGTGAACTGTACGATTTCGAAAATTTTGAACAGCATTGTTGATGATGCAGGATTTAAAAAAAGAATCAAATATGTAAGGTTATTAAGCCAAATCTCTTTATTATTCACTAAACTACAAAAAAAAAAAAAAAAAAAAAAAAAGAAGGAAAATCACAACTAATTTATATTTATTTAGAAATCGTGAGATGCGGTCTGGTGTGTTGTAGGTTTCAGAAAAACATTTTCTTTATCGTGCCAACGTTTCTATCTTTATTGAGATCATCTTCAGGGCTCAAAGTGTTTGTCTTCTGTGTAATTGTGCCATTCTTGCGTGTCGTGTCGAGAGGGCACTCTTACACAGAAGACAAACACTTTGAGCCCAGAAGATGATCTCAATAAAGATCGAAACGTTGGCACGATAAAGAAAATGTTTTTCTGAAACCTACATCACACCAGATCGCATCTCACGATTTCTAAATAAATATCGATTAACGGTCACTAATCACCACACATCACAACTAATGTTCAAAATTCATGCGTTAAATTTTCTCGTTTAAACCTGGTTTTTTAACATTCAGGTTGATTTTATCTACTCTAGGTCTTGAAAAAATGCCCATTTAATCCATAAGGTCGGGACACGTAAAAATCATAACTTCCGGCCGGATAGAGAGAGAACAGTTCTGTTGGTTGCATTTTACTTTATTTAGGATGTTAAGTAACCCAATTTTTTTCAAATTAGTGTTGGACAACCCAGTATTTCTCATTTCATTGGGAAGTCACAACTCAACCCTTCTTCACCGTACAATAAAAATCTATCAGTATTTGGAATATTAATATGGTTTACATATGTATTTCACAATATTCAGAAGATTAGACAGGTTAAATGGCACACAGCAACGTTAATTTCCTTAATTTTGCTGTAAATCGAGGAAAAACAGTAAATTCAGAGATACGGGTAAATCTACAAAACAGGATTTCTTTTGACCTCAATTACATTCTGTAGATAAATTTTATTCTTCTCGTAGAAAGATAATAAAATTTTAACCGAGGTTATAAGCCCGAGATCAATCGTCAACAGCGTTTATTCGGCCCATTGTTTGTTCAAATTTTCTGATAACAGAATGAAAGATAATTAAAATTTTTAATGAATTCTAACATTCTGTAATTGATGATGTTTTAGCAGCACATTTGAAACTCTCAGTTCAAATCGTAATTTTTTACGATAATGTCTTGAAAAGGATTTCGTTGCATAAAATGATTTAATAGAGTTATATTAAATTATCAGTAAATTTATGCATATGATTCGATATTATTTGACTTTAACAAATCTTTTCCCACTTTTAACCATTTGGAAGCAATTATTTTCGGGGTCATGGGATCAATGGTTGAAGAAGTCGTTCGTCGATGTAATCTAATCCGTAGGCCATTGACCCGTACTGGGGGTTTGGCATAAAGCTTGACCTTTGGCAAACTGTAAATCGCAATCGTAAAATTCAACGCAAACCGCTTCTCGCGTCGCACCTGAAGACGTCTTCCCAGTCCATCTGCGGCGATGAGGGCGACCTGGTCGCGTAATCCGTGCAGACACTTTCGAATATGCAGAAACCTTGACCCATTTCGGCGACTATACGCTTCTCGACTTCTGCCGGGTCGAGCTGAGAGCCAGCACCCCTCCTCGACCTAGACCTGTACGTTCCTGAAACACAGAAGAAAAAATAGAATCAACTTTGATCAGATAAATGCAAATTTTTTGTACATTATGAATAACGTGCCGTTATCGCTTTCACGGGTCGTTTCTCCTTCCGGCTTTTCCGGTACGTTGTATGCAAATGAGCTTACTTTCTACCGAGGAAAGAAAGCGGTAACTGTATTCAATTTTTGATAACTGTGCTATCATCGGAATTCAAAACAGGATAACCATAATAAAAACTTAAAGAATAACTAGCGATGCGGTCTGATTACATTTCTACAATGAAACGACGATTTTTTGATTTGTCAATAAAGAACGCTTTAAAAAAACGGTTGCATCATCACTACCCGAATTTCATAACAGTAACATCGTCTAGTGAACTTTCTCCTGCTCTCCTCATAATAGTTAATGCCCATGAATACAAATGGGACGATTAATATTTTTCCTGGCCTTCAAGACGATCCTGATAATACTGAACTAGTGCACTCGTGAGCATTATTACATGGTAAAACAAACATGAAATAATAGCGTTAACTATTAACACAAAACGATTAACGCAAAGATCGTGAATACCGCTGTAATATTAAATATGTTTCCTCAGTCCTTATTTACAGTTATATATATATATATATATATATATATTTTTTTTTAAGAGGGTTTGTAACAGTAGAGGTCATATCAACCCCCGGGGTGTCGGTGTTCTTGAAAAAACGCGCATTTGTAAGTAAGTTGAGTTCATACATAGGGCTATTGGATTCGAACGCGGGACCTTTACCTTACAGTGATGAGCGCCGTGTCAACGCCTAAAGTTCGATTCACACACAACAGTGACGTGACAGTGCCGTGACCGGCATTCTACCGGCGGCCTTTGAAAATAGTTTCTTAAAAACTGAATGACTTGGCGAACCTGGCTGTGACAACTGTGCACATTGGTTTATAGAATGAAAATACGTGGACTCAGATTTTAAGAATATTCTCTGGAGAAAAATAGGAGCAGAAATGAACTACTTTGGTCAATAAAGTACGTGTATATTTCAGTGGTGTTTACATTATGAATAGCAACACTTCATAATAAATTATGAACTACGATTACAACTTGTTTTAAGGTTATTGGGTATTTGATAACCACAGGAGAGTTCCAGCAACAGAAATGAAACAATAAGTTAATATTTCTTGTACGCGAAATGCATCTGTCGTTGCGTCAACTTTCTGTAAATGTAAAGTTTGCAGTATCCAACTTTCACTCCTTGAATCCACTTGGGAAGTCACGTATTTTTTTAAAATTTTTTTACGAGGATTTGCAACAGCAGAGGTCATATAAACCCTCAGGGTGCCGGTGTTTTTGAAAAAAAAAAGCCAATTTGTAAGGATGTCGGGACCTTTACCTTACAGTGATGAGCGCCATGTCAACGCGTAAACCGTTGCGGCCACCGACGTATTTCTTAATGCATTAAGAAGTTGAAGTTTTAAGTTCTAAGTTACGCTGGAAGCAAAATTTTGTTCCATCACCCACTAATTCTTTGTAAAGTGTAGCAAATTACCCTTCTGTCGCTCTCTTGATGTAACCACTTTCGTTTTTTCGCTTGTGGTTCTTCTTTTTCAGCCAAAATCAGTACGATAATCAAAAGTTCATCACCTGAAAACATTGCCATTTTGGCCATTCCGAGTCCATTGCAAGGACGGAGAAACACTGACCAGTTGAAGCTCTGTATGATCACAGTGGGCCTCACGACTCTGTCCCGCCACTAAAGTGAGTTAATCGACCTTAAACCATTGCGGCCACCGATGCTCCCATATTATTTCTTTAATTCTCTTTCGTTTTTTTCTCTTCATGTCTCTCTTTCTTTATTATATACTCTAGTTAACATAATTCATTAACATAAATATTAACTCCACTATATTTAGTCGTCTACAGACCAAATTGCTTCTTTCAATTACTTAATTTTTTTATTTAAGGTTTGGGTTGAAATGAAAAAGCTAGTCTCACGGGCGGGATTCGAACCCACGACCTTCTGCTAAAAACGCCGCTCCTCTAACCATTTGAGCAATCGTGACTTCGATCCACTCGGACACAACTTTCCATCACAACCTACAACCTTTCAAATTTTCCCTCTTTTAGCCATTTTTCAAGCCATTGGATCGCAGCCACTATAGACCACTAAATATAATGGATTTAAAAAGTAAAACGAAGTATAGCTTCACAACAGCTCCCCGCGACCATTTTCATAAATCGCTGAGAAGCGAATCCTGATTGTACGACATGGCAAAACGAGCTAAAATGCGAAAGTTTGAAAGTTGAGATGGGAAGTTGGTGTCCGAATGGATCGAATTTACGATAGCTCAAGTGGTTAGAGGAGCGGAGTTTTTAGCAGAAGGTCGTGGGTTCGAATACCGCACGTGACTAACTTTTTCATTTCAACCCAAACCTTACATAAAAAGACTAAGTAATTGAAAGTATTAATTTGGTCTATAGACCTCTAAATATAATGGATTTAATAAGTAAAAGGAAGTATAGCTTCACTAACAGCTCCCCGTGGCCACTTCATATGCCGCCGAGAGTCGAATCCTGATTATACGATATTTTAAAAATAACAAAAAGAGGGAAAATTGGAAAGGTTTTAGGTTGAGATGGAGCGTTGCTGTCCGAGTGGTTCGATGTCATGATAGCTCAAGTGGTTAGAGCAGTGGCGTATTTAGCCGAAGGTCGTGGGTTCGAATCCCGTTCGTGACACTAGCTTTATCATTTCAATCAAAACCTTCCATCGAACTTATGAAAATGACCTCGGGGAGCTGTTAGTGAAGCTATACTTCGTTTTACTTTTTAAATCCATTATATTTAGTAGTCTATAGTGACTGCGATCCACGACATTTGAAAAATGGCAAAAACAGGGAAAATTCGATATGTTGTAGGTTAAGATGGGCAGTTGGTGTCCGAATGGATCGAATTTACGGTAGCTCAAGTGGTTAGAGCAGTGGCGTATTTAGCTGAAGGTCGTGGGTTCGAATCCCGCTCGTGACACTAGCTTTATCATTTCAAAACCTTACATAAAAGGATTAAATAAATATTAACATAATTTGAATTAGGATTACCGTAGGACTAACTCGCAATCACCGATAATTTATCTAACATACTCTCTTTTAAAACGATTATAATATTTTCTCTATTGGTCTTGTTGACATTTTCATCAAGAAAACTGGTGAACAACGCTTTCTAGAAATCTATCGGGACTTATATTTCAAATTGCCCTCAAAATGTATAATATTATTTTTTCCACAGACACAACTCACTTCTAATCTCTCTCTTTTTTATCTCTCACTGTGTGTTTGTGTTCGGAAGTATGTAATATTTTTTGCTAGTATGAATAGACAGTTTTTGCTACAATTGATTTATGTACGTGTGTATATATTTTTGTCCAGGTGAAATTCATGGTAGGCGGAATGAAAATTGACCGGAACCTCGGTTAAACTTTCATGTTCTGTTCTTTTTATACTTTCTTCCTTTTCAATCGCCTCCTCAGAATTGCGTAAGGAGGCGAGATATCACGTCCACGTGGTGAAGTCAGTCCGGCCAAATATGTCCAACACCTTTGAGACAAAGTGAAAAATCAAAGCAACCGGGCTTTCTTTTCACCAATTCCGATCATGCTTGAACACGTGACGAAGACTAGAATAATTCCATGGGCGGTAGTGGGGTCGTATTTAATTGCTCTTGGCCAATTTTAACGGGCGCGTTTCCCAAACGTTGGTTGCGAAATCATCTGGGTTTACCAGGATAAAACATTTGCACAACGATCTCTAACGTCTCACCGTCGCTAAAGATAACGCGGGTTTCGAAAGTAGACGCGTCATCCAGGTAGACCATAGGCGATTGACCCAAAATCGTTGGATTTTCTTCTCAGGCAATGGTAGCACCATAAATATCTACGTATTTTTTTCTGCGTTCCAAAAGTGAGACATATTATCATGGTTCATGTCGTTATTGCATATTTAATCTTAATAATTCCCAATATTTATTTATTCATAGACCCATTTAAGATTTCAAAGTAATTGAATGAAAGGGAGTGAGAGAATGTGACAGAGTGTGTGTGTGTGCGCGCGCGCGCGTGTATGGGAAAGAGAGAGAGAGAGAGATAGAGAGAAATATTTTTTTCTTTTCTTTCTCCTTCTTCTTTCAAATTGAGCTGTGGAGCCAGAAAATCATCCTGGAATGGCGCCCGTTAGCAATCGATAGTAAATTTTGATAAGCTTTCAAATTGGTCATCTTCCACTTTGCCCAACTGTTTTCGAGTTATTCGCGATTTTCGGATAAAAAACCTCGTTCTTTACCTGCTCATGAAAAAACCGATCAATTTCTTTTTTCCATGAGCACGATAAACCACGTTTTTGCCCAAAAATCGCAAATAAATGTAAAGCGGTATAAAAATCGGGTAAAGTGGAGGGTGACTAATTGAAAGCTTATTAAAATTGTATTTCATTCCTTAGGGCGCCGCTCGAGGACGATTTCCTGGCATCACAGCTCAATTTGCAGTTTTCGCAAAAAGTGCAAAAATTTACATGTTCCAGAACTGATGAATGATTGAACCTAGGAAAACATTTAAAAAAAGGCAACTTCTTTAGTGTAAAATTTTCTAAATATGAGATCTAGCGCAGGTCTGTGACTAAGGCTGCATTTGCAAATTTAGCCATTACTCATTACGCTCAAAAGCAGGTCGGATTTTTTTTATGGGCAGTGTTGTATATGGCAAACAGAATTGAATATCGAAGTGGAAAATAGGGACTTTTATTCCAATTCCGTAAAGGAGAGAGATAGAGAAAAAGAAAGTAAGAGAGAGAGCGAGTGAGAGAGAGAGAGAGAGAGAGAGAGAGAGAGAGAATGTGATGTAGAGAGGAGAATGGGGAAAAAGCGAGAGAGCAAAAGAGAGAGAAAAGAGAGAGAAATAATTTTTTCTTTTAAATAGGTTGTCGTCAAAGGTACAAGTACATATAAGTAAGCGTGGGTGGATATT